AATATGGCACTGAATCTCTGGGCCGGACTCAGGGCTTCCAATTCTGAGCAATTTGGATGCAATCAGGTCCGAAAGTGGCACTATTTGAGCCATTTTGCAGAAGGATTCATTTTCAACATGGCAACTTTCCCGGACAGTGAAATTTCCTTCGTTTTAGGGGTGGTCTGCTTTGGGCGAGAATTTCTCAAAAGGTCATCAGTCAACCCACTAAAAATTGAAATGAAAATGAAAGAGGACACGTAGAACATAATTTTTCTGTGCAGCCTGAACTCCTGCGTGAGTTGTGAGTATTTTAAAATATTTGTGAAGCACGGGGATTTATCCCTGCTGTCTATGGGAATTTATTTATAGTGGTGTAGTAACAGCCGACAACATTGCGTCGCGTCGTGTCGTTGCATGGTGTTGTTTCTCGTGAAGTCGTGCCGGTGCGTCTTGCTGTCGTAGCGTCACAGGTCTGTCATTGTATGTGTTAATACAGCGTGGCTTTGGCCGTTGCGTCCTGCCGTCGCGTCCTGATGTCATGCTGTCACGTCGTGTGGTCGTCCGTCGTATAGGCCTAGTGCCGTAGTGCCTTACTAGAACTAAAAACGGCTTGTATATTTATGGCCAATAGAGGGCGTATGTCACAAGTCCTGGGGAAAATGTGCATGCACAGAGCTTACAAGATGTGACGGTATCGGTATGGAACTTCACCACAGACACAAAAAACGCATGGACCACAAGAACGCATTCAAATTGCATGAAATTTTTTTTGATCTGTGTGGGGCAAATTTAACCATCTGTTTAGGGAATTTACGCACAATAAGTGACAAATTTCAGCCTCAAAATTCTATGCGGCCATTTTTCGACTGTAAAAATTCGCTTTTCACTTAATGTAACAGTGCCGAAGAGCAAAAAAGGAAATTATTTCGGAAACACATATAAACAAATGCAGGCAATGTTTGCGTTGCGCGTAGTGCGCAATGAACGCACTGCCACCCATCACTTCACCCATTGTTTGCCCAAAGCGAGGTGTAGGGTGCTCCTTCAAATTTCCTGCTCGGAGGGCAAAGTGCAGACCAATCATATACAGCATAGTGTCCACCAAGTTTTCGCCTGTGTCAGTGTCGAGGATTCCTCTGGACCATAGCTGCAGCTTCCTCGTCGTCAGTGATGACTTCTGCCTGCTGTGCCCTCTTGCCAACGGATGACAACTCGATCCTGCGGGTATCCAGAGTGTTTTTGAGAGGTTTGAAAATGTCCTCATTAAGGAGTTTCATACTACTCACCTTCATTTCTAGATGCAGCTGCAAGGAAATGGTGAGCTCGTACAGTGTTCCGGCTGGGTAGTCCTGTCCCTTTTCCTTCTTAGCCTCCATGACGAAGCAGCAAAGAGAGTCAGATTTCGTCTTTGGACATCTCAACTAATTCTACGCGTACTGGACTGAGGTTTAGCTCTGGGTGTATAACGGCTGATCTACTTCTCTCTGCATTGCCCCATCAAAAAGCCGGGAGGCCCATGCGCACTTCTGCTCTGTAGGTGGTGAAAACCTCCATGAAATACAAAAGCGGAAGACGTTACAAATAACGTGCTAATAGTCATGTTACTTTCTGTTGCTTTTTCCCATCATTTCCTGGTCGGTTATAGGGGTCCCGAATCGACTGGAGCCTTCCAAATTAGACAGTATTCGAGGTTGTTTTGCCCCCGATTTTGCCACCTCCAACTTTTCGCTAGGAGCAATTATTTCATCATTGGATACGTAAAAAAATACCGGGTAATGGTTTAAGTCATTACTCTCGGGTGATTTTAAGTCACATCTAGTGATGATAATTTGTCCATATTATGGACAAATCGTCATCACTGGAATACATTGTCGTGGAGCTGGCACAGACCGACAAGAAAGTGCGACGCACAAGTTTGACAGCAAATGACTTGCATGTTGTTGTTATTGTTTCGTTTTAATGGCGCTTTCGGCTACTCAGACTATCTGCGCCAATAACTATACGATTATTTACAGCCCTTATTAATCAGCATTACATTACAGAGTTACGAAGAGGCTTTACTTTTAAAGTCCCCGGAGATGACTTGCGTGCCCAAGGCACTGGGCACTTTTAATTCACTTGCAAGGACGGAACCTTTTATTCCTTTGTTTCATTACGCAACAAGGGGACCAGAGAAGAGTTTTCATGTAAGTATGTACCCAACTGACTTCATTAATTTCATTCATGTAATGCCTCAACACATTAGTAAGAATGTACAGTTTTATTCCCTTGAAATCATTACAATGGGTATGAGAGGGTCGAAGTTTCAGTCGCAGAAACGAACATTCTTTGCTTTCGAATCAAAGAATGTGCACTTTTTCGTCGTTTGTCCTTGATAGACTTTGGATTGACTGCCATTGTTTAACAGTTTAAGGCCCTGTCATACCATGACAATTTAGCCAGCGTATGGCGACGTATGAAACATTTGGTGAACACACCGGCGTACGTCGAATAAGTTTAATATTTGTATAAGTAAAGAGCATGCTGGTATACGTCGTAGTACGGCGAGATCGTCGAAAATTCGACATGTGCCAGCGCATGCCTCATGCGCATACGCGGGCCGCAAGTTGGAGGTAAGCTATGGGATCGTTAGCACACCCACACACGTTACTTGTGAGTTACTAATAAGTCGAAATACGTCTAGATAATATCTAGCGTACCCAAAACTTATTTCTAACCTATGAGTAACGTGCTTTGAACCCATATGTAACTTGTGTCAAACTTCTCGAACGCATATTGACGCATGTAGACGTATTTGACGTGTTCCGGACGGCCGCAGCACTTACTGAACGTGTTTTTAACTTGCAGCTGCCGTATGCACATGTAAGTCATTATCTACCAAAACGTTCTGTAAGTTACTAGTACGTTATGTATACGTCCAACTCGTTATGAATACGCTATGTTTATGCCCAAAATTGAATACGGTGGATGGGCAGAGGAGACGCTCGACCCGGAAAAAATTCGAAATAGAAAGGGGGTAGGGGACAAATATGAAAATACCCTAATTTGCTAAGCAAAGTTTACGAAACTGTCTTAATTCATCCATTTAAATTTTTAATGGTTTATCGATTCGATATCTAGAGTACTGAGAGTAGCCCTAAAAGAGCAGGGGTGTTTTCCAACCCATACAATTTTCTACTATCGTAGCGGTACATATTTCGCGCACTTGAGAAAGTTCTCATTTTCATCTTTCAGTCACTTTGACAGTATTTTTTCGGAAGTTTTTAGCGCAACGAATAACTGAAGTGGTGTACAGAAAATGTTAGTGATCTTAGAGGTATGAAACGTATACGGAATAGTTAGCAATCAAAGTAGTACGTATAATCAAAATGACATGTGTACAATATACAACACTATCACTAAGAATGTCAACCATGCGCCAACCCATTGAGTCGAGCCATGCCACTTGGCTCGACTCGAGTCGGACTCTAGTCCCTTTTGTTTAGTTGTAGCTTGACCTGTGACATGTTCCGCTTATACTTGACTAAGACTTACAAAACTTACTTTCTTCCTCTTGCCCGAGTTGTGTATACAGTACTTTATTAAAGAACTGAGTGTAGGTAGAGCAATCAAGTGAATAAAGCTCAGTAGTCCAAAACTTGTTAGTCTGAAGTTGTTGCTTAAACATGTTTGCTTATTAGAGTTTAATTAACAAAACAAGAAGTGTTTCAGCTTGGATTTGGCCAGTGAGAGACTGGTGTTTGACCTTTATTTGGACCAAGTCCATCTCTAGGCAAGTGAGGGCGCTGTTAGAATGATGAAATCCAAGAAGACACTGTTCAGTTTGCATGTTTTGTTGTTCAAATGTTGAACCCCATATTTGCTCTTGAAAACGTTTCCGAGAAAGGGTTGCTCACTGGCTTATTTTCATATTCTTATGCAACAATAAATTGCCAAAGGAAATGGAAATCTTCAGCAGTGAAGTTTAAAATTCTATACATTTTCTGTGTACACATCAATGCAACATGGAGATTCAATGTCTTGGGTTTCGTCACCGCTTTGTTCATGAATATGCAATCTTTTATTCGTATAAACCCAACAAAAAGTCCTTAAGTATTCGTTTAAAAACCAACAACAAGTCCTTAAGTACTGAAAAAATAGGAAAACAAAAATTGAAAACTAAGTGAAATGCAAAAGCTTAATCTCAAGGATTTTAAACACTATTTTTGTACACATGCTCTCTTAAAATTAAACCCCTTTAAACATCCAAATGTCAATATTCTCTGTTCCTACATAATCTATCTATTACTATGCACAAAAGGTTCTCAAACCGGTAAGAATCATCCGATGACACAGGAATAATGATTTATAAAGATTAATAATCTAACATTCACCAATTGAAATTGACTAATCTATTCTGTATCGTTATGTTCGATTTAAATCAATAATTTTACCTTTGGGGTACAGTTTTTTTCATCTCAATAAAATTAGCAAATACTAAAACTGAAATAAGGATTAAAGGAAAATGAATGCATCAATAAGCAAAGCTGCATACGAATAACAAACGTACTCTCAATAGAATTAAAAACGTATTCTCAATAGAATTATTTATGATACTTGATATAATAATGATATCTACTAACGTATCAGCTGACTTGCTAATGCATTGGAAAATGTTGCAGGAGAAACAGGAAAAAGATGACCACCGAAACAAAACAAATACCAAAGATACTCACAATAAATACCTTAAAAGTACATAAACCTGTCGTAAATCCAAGCTAAAAAATTAAGCAAAATTAAACGAAGTTGGCTTCACGCATAGTTATCAACGGTCAGTGTGAATTACGACCAATGGAATTGACAATGATATACAAATAAATACGAGTGCATTAAATATTCTAGAATTCCAGTGAGTATCTCATTGCAATAATAATTATAATCCAATGACAACTGTCATTAGTACTTCCTCTGCAACATTCTTTGGCCATGTTGATAAAGGACATCTGATGCCGGATACCAGCGAACATCTAAATGCTGATGTTGATGCTATCTTCATAAAGGGCGATGACAAGGATAATAGTGGCACCAATGAAGAGCCCCAAATTGTGCAGTAGGAAAATGGTGCCTTTGTTCTTGTTATTGTGATGTATCAGTTCTGGAAACTGCACGCAAAAAATAGCAAAATCAAAAACCAAAGAGTAAACATTTGAAGTTAAACATGAACACTGTGTGCAACGGTGTATGTAGTACTATATGTGAACTATCTATTATTTACCTCTATCAAGACCTTTAACCGCTAAAAGCCTGCCGACAGAGAGTTTTTCCCTAATTGCTTCAATCCCGGGAGGCGGTATATGTCCCCCGACACTTGTGACCGGGGGACGGACTACTGATTCATCCTCCACCTTTTCGGGGCGAGGAAAAATGAAAGTGGATGGTGAAACATGCTTCGAACTTCACTTAAAACCGAAAAACCAAAGCGTCACTCCAAAAGGGATAACAGTAAAAGGAGCTATGAATATGCAGTTCTGATGTAAGATCTGATATTATGCATACATGCATTACAGATGTACATGCACGCCTGTATCATGAACGTTGCCCCAATATGTGTTATATTGTCAGCCCCCGTGTCAAGTCAAATATTTATGGCCATGCAAATCCTTCCACGCGTTTCCCAACCCCCACAATTTCCGACACAAATTTACGCCGCTGTTAATTGCTATACCAGGTCACCTGTTGTACCCCTAGAGTCACCTTTTCCATATTTTATATTGCCGTACCAGTTTGCCGCGTTTCACTCCATGATACTACGTTTTGCAATGAACACTCTCCGTAACTTACGCATACGGAGTCGCCGTGTATTGGAAAATGCTCTAATAGAAACACACGTAAACGAAGAACTTTTGCATCAAATATTACCACCACCTTTAATTTTTTCCTCCAAGTTGCTGTATTCTGTGTGGTACCTAAATAAATGTTCTCATTGAAAAATTAAAAAAAATGAGCTTGCAACAAGAACGGAACTCCAATATTGTAAATTTTTCCTCACCATGTCCACCAAGGCAACATACAGGAACATCCCAGCTGCCAACGCAAAGATCCACTCTCGAGCCTCTGCATTGGCAGCCAATGGAATGCCAATACAGAGTCCGATAAAGGCCATCAGAGCAGACAGGAAGTTGAAGACCAATGCTTTACGGAAACTCAGACCGGCACTCAGAAGGACGGCAAAGTCACCTGAAGTACAGACAGAATTAAGCACAAGCATTGTGTTCATGCAAACACAGACGCACATTTTTTTAGCTTTTTGGCTATCTGCCCAGAGTTGCAGTGCACCCTCACCGGCGAAAGAAAGACAGACTGGTATTAAAAAGCTTTACAACTGGATTCTTTCACGCGATGCGAAGACTACAACTTCCAGAATCCAGTTCTTAAGTATGACATCACTTCAGTTTACACCACGCCCACTGCACAAGTTAACGCGCATATTCAGTGTTCGTCCAATGGGAGACTGCAATCAGTGGCGTGTCCGCGTGTCTGACGAAGCAACTTACGAACTGCTGCAGGGTGAGTTCGATGTGCGTCCTAAACGTGCCTCGCCTCAATACTAGAGCACCTGGGCGATGATTTCGCACTGAAAAATTGTTCATGACGTTTAAAAACACGACCGCTTTTGTCCCCGTTCGGAGTGGATTTCGTAATCCGACAACTGGAATTAGGAGCATTCACTGCCACGCTAAAACGCTCGTGGACAGGTAGTACGCGCACGTTACATACCTCTTCAACCACGACGGTGTCGTGATTTGCAAAATGCACACGCACACCATGTTGAAGAATACCTGTATGTACTTCCAAGGATTGGTTATCGCCGGGGAAGATCAATTAATTTCCCCCTGCCCAAATCCCTCCTTGGAAAAAGTTGTTCGCGGTACCCGCTGCTACATCGGACTCGAACCAGCACGCCAGCACGGTGGTCGAGTGGTCAATACGTCTGCACTAATAAGCAGGAGGTCGTGCGCTCGAGTCCCACCAGAGTACGCTAAGTCTGATTTTTTTTCACAAGCCTTCGGGGGCAAGCACTGAGTACACAATGTTATAATGCACGTCGGGCGGGGCAAACAAAATTCCAAAAATTAACTGAAGACTGTGTTGTGAGTGCGGTGCTACCACAGTTAGTGGGTTTAATCGGATTAGTCTGCAGCCAAGCAATGAGATATTCAGTTGGGTTGTTCGTACGCACTTACGTCTACACGCGTTTATTATGAGAAACACATTGGACCTCGTTATATACGGTTTCAGCTATATGCAACTTATAAATTTAGACTTACTTTTAAAAATACATCTCTCTACTGCCAAACATAGGCAGAAGATGTCATTTCTTCCTTCGTATTTTTAGTTCCATGTGATCAACCTACCAAGTTCGTGGGGCAACTCGTGGCAAAAGACGGCAATGCTGGTTGACAGTCCCGTACCAATGCTCGTGGCAAAAGCGGCACCTATCGCCAGACCGTCACCCAGGTTATGTAGACCATCCCCGATGAGAATCATAAGCGGTAGGGAACCAATTCCTAATTGGGCAAAATAATGGTATTGGTCTGCCAAGGCGCACAAGTCTGTTGTGTATAGGTTCCAAAACTAGAAAATATCAGTAACTACAGACGTATTCTTTCAGACATCCACTAAGAGCTTGACTAAACTTTAGCCAAGTTTCATCGGTGATTGCTATACGAATAGTTTTATTGGAAGATTTTAGGCCTTCTGGAAACATTTTAGAATTCAGTATGCTCTCAACAGTATCACAACGGAAATCTAGTACCTCTAGTAAACATAAAATAACCTCAAAGTTGTCATACACTTGCAGAAACACCAAAAACACGTAGCTCGAATTAAAATTTAAAAAGTGTAACAGTGTACCCGATACAAAACAACACAAAAAGACGATGAGCGGTCTATAGTCAGATTTCTGACACTGGTTATGAATCTACAGAAAGGGTTGAAGCCACAGAATTATGCAATGTTATAAGGTGCGGTAAATCACACAAAGAGTCTCTGTTTTGCAAGTGAAGCTTGTTCAAGTTCATCCAATATGACAATCCTGTGTAAATAATAAAAAAAAAACTCTCACCGTGGCAGACTTTCGAATGATGGGGACTATGACCACGCTCGTCCGTGGCATCTTCGTTCAGAACGTCGCCGAATTGTGCATTGGATGTTGATCGATGCTTGGGGGAGCTATCGATTTCCTCCTTCAGTCTCATACTAGAGGTTCGCTTTCTCTCCCCAGGTTCATCATCTACGGGCTTCACGGAATTTGAGTGTCCTCCCTGAAGCAAGCACGAAAAAAACACCATAACTTTCCTTTTAGATCGAGTCATTTCAAGTAATTTTGCCGAACATCATTTGAAATCGCCACTTGAGGAGTGCAAAACAACATTATCCTCAGGCAAACTTGAATTCTCAGTTCTGATTGGTCGATACATGGCAACAAACAGTGTGATAAATAATATATAATCAATGTTCTGAACTGTGTAATTGCCGAGCCGCTGTCGGTAACTTTTGATATATAACCGTATTGCACGGTTCATATCAAACCCTGCCTAAAGCGCTGTTCTAACTCATCGCACTGAGCCATTTTTACGCTAAAAGCAAATGCAACATCTGCATAACTGCAAATTCAAAAGTGGCGTGTTTGCCGTGCTGGCCGTCACGTGTTTAAAAGCACGTATAGTTCTTTCTTAGTGTAAACCCTGTTTTTGTTGTTGTTGTTGTTGTTACTGAAATATATTAAAACACAAATAATTCCTATGCTCCCTCGATGCAGAATTGTGGTACATCGGTGTTACTGTTTTGGCTTTGCACCATATGATATCTTTTTTCTCCTTTTTTATGTAAAGCGCGCATAGTACTGCGCGTCAAGTTTGCTTGAACATTAATTCGTTATCACGCTCGCGCTCATAGAACAAGGAATAATATAGTGCGTCTGTGTCTCGTATCCGCCTATAGACATAAATAAGGTTATTTATGTTTCCACCCCAAGTTGAAGTGCCCTCTTTTGTTCTGCTTGGAGCGGATATCACTCGGCCTTCGGCCTTGTGGCATACGGGACACAGACGCACAACATTATTCCGTGCTCCACTCGCGCTCGTGTGATAACTAATATAAATATAAGGCTCGTCATATTAATAGTAGTACGGAGCTCTGGAAGTGCCATCCGACTTGTTCAGATACCGAGATAATTTCTCTTATTAAGTGGACACATAAAGCGTATTTAGTCGATTTAACGAGATCAATGATGCAGTTAAGTCGACTTCCTAAATTTAGTAAGTTGACTTGGTGAGATATTTCATGACTTCAAGTCTACTTTCGGAATTCCCTGTGTCGACTTGGCGAGATTATTTATGTAGTTAAGTCGACTCCTTTATTTGGTGAGACGACTTGGCGAGATAACTTATGTCATCAAGTCTGCTTTTGGAATTCGTGATGTCAACTCGTCGAGATAAATTATGTTGTCAAGTCGACTTTACAATTGTGAGAAGACGACTTGGCAAGAAAAATTATGCAGTCAATCCAACTTCCTAATTCTGGTAGGTCGACTTGAAAAGATAATCTATGTCAATGAGTCGACCTCCTAATTCTAGTAAGTCGACTTGGCGAGATAACTTATGTTATCAAGTCTGCTTATAAAATTCGCTGTGTGGACTTGGCGATATAAATAATGTTGCAAGTTGACTTCATAATTCTAGTAAGTCAACTTGGCGAGATAATCCATGTCATCAAGTGTACAACATGCAGGCATAAACCGACTACTCACAAGTGAACGTGACCTGCAGCGTTTTTTCTCGCCAAGTCGACTTGCTAGAATTGGGAAATCGACTTGACAGCAAAATTTATTTCGACGAGTCGACATAGTGAACTGAAAGTAGACCTGATGACATAAATTATATCGCCAAGTCAACTTACCAGAATTAGGAATTCGACTTGAGTATTTGACTTATCTCGCCAAGGTGACACAAGCAAAATCCGGAAGTAGACTTGACAACAAAAAGTATCTTTCCGAGACGGCATACCGAGTTCTAGAAGTAGACTTGATGACATACATTATCTCACCAAGTCGATGTACTTGGATTAGGAAGTCGACTTATTTACATAAATTGTCTCGCCAAGTCAATAGAGGGAACACTGGAAGCAGGCTTGATGTCATAGAATATTTCGCGATGTCGACTTACTGTAGTTAGGAAGTCGACTTAACAACAACATTTTTCTTGTTAAATCGACTAAATAAGCTTTATAAGTCGACTTACTAAGATAAATTATCTCGTTGTCTGAACAAGTCGGATGGCACCCATAGAGCGCCGTAGGGGATCAGATGTAGACGCCAATAAACCAAGACGAAGGCATGGAAACTGTACACACTGAGTCTCTGTCATACTGTGCATTACGCGGTTTACATCCTAAGAGTTATTGCAATCAATTACGAATTAGCTCACAACAAACACGGGGGATGCTTGGTATCCAAACATCATGTTAAATGTGGGAGGGATGCCATCATGAAATTTTCTGTCGGCATATTTTTAAGAGTATATGGTAGTCTGATTCCCCCTCTGTCCCTGTTCTAGTCCACGGTACATGCATGACTTTGTGCTGTCTCCACACTCCTCCCTATGGTGACATCGTGTTGATGACTGAGAGCAATACGCATGTGAAAGTTCACTGTATCCGGGGTGACTCCACTTGAAAATGTAACTTTAGATTTGATTAGTGATTATTTTGTGTTAACCTGATTGTAGTGGCATTGTAGCATATTCATGATAACTTTAGATGTAAACTGAAAAAAGACAATGTGAAATACGGAGCAATAATATGTGACAGGAAATTTTTAAAAGCGTTAACATAATCACGCACAAAAATCTGTAATAAATAAAACACTCATCACCATCTGTTTTTCGTAGCAGTTAGATAGTCGTTCTAGTATTTTGCTGTTAAATTTCTTTAAATCTCTTCAAAGTACAGTTCCCTTGGTTGTGCTTATTTTAGTCCCTTTGTTGTAGTCATGTGTTCTGTGTGTCTGTTTATATCTGCATTTTTAGCATTCAAATAATGTACACCTATTTGATGTTTTTAAAAGTTTCCGACTGTATATTTCGTATAATTTACATGTTTTAATTTTGTGACTTTTATGATAAATAAACTGTGATTTTTGAAAATTTAATCGTTTTTATTGTATTTGGGTGAATCGCCTTAAGCGTCAACTTTTGACAGATTGAAATTAAAAATTAAATGTTATAAAATATTCTTATAGATGTTTGCAAAAACAGTGGAAGTAAAAATCATCTCATTCGATAATTTTTCAAGGACAGAGGGTGAAATTCTGGGTAGATGGGGGCATACATCCCCCCCACAATTTGATTGGGGGGGTCGGATAGGCTGTTGAATTACCCCCCACTTCGGGGGGGGGGGAACAGGCGAATTAAAGGTAATTTTCCTTTTGTGCTAAAACGAAAAAAATCTTTAATAAAAAGCAAAAGCTTTAAGGACGGTATTCTGCTTTTAAGGTTAAGGGGCTTAAGTACCAGTCTGCATAAGATATACTTCTGTATCATAAACAGTGCTCCTAGTGTCACGTGACACCCCCCTTCAAATTTCCATTCCTGGGCCTTTTTTAAAAGCCATCCACCCCTCCTGTCTTCGGCACCTGATTTCCACCATGCACTTGTCAAGACTAGGCTAATTGCAAGCAACAGGAAAAAGACTATGACAAAGAGTGCCGTCAAGATCAACCAGCTCCCAAAAGAAAAACAACAGTGGGAAAAAAACTCACACCAAACATTTGCATGAGAGACTCGAAAACGAAGAAGACGTAGATAGCAACGACAACCACCAGACACTTCCAAATGTAGGCAAGGTCCTCTGAGGTCGGATCATGCGTGACGCCGGCTGCTGTCGCATCGTGTGCGTGAAGTCCTACAGCCTGTTGATCAAGACGTAATACACAATGAATTAGTAAAAGCAGCATTCGTCTTTGAGCGAAATAGAACAAACATTCAAATCCCCATTTTTTAACAAATAACAATTTCAAGGAGGGTAGATTCAGTCGTATAGAGTTAGTGTTCAATTCCTGATGTTGCACTGCTTTAGTGTGTTGACATTCATTTTTGCGCGAAATTGAATGCACCTCTGTAATCCTACATTCATCTTAATTTGAACTCAATCTGTTTCGGAAAATGTGCAGGCGATTCCGCACGAAGTGTTATTTGGAATTAGAATTCGTTTGTGTGCCGACAGAAGTGGTATTCTCAGAAGTGTTTACGTGATTGGTTAAATATTTGAATGTTCATGATTGAAATAAACCATTGATGTTATCATTCGAAACTACCGACTATTGTAGGAAACCTACAAACACCAGCGCTGAGGGAACATTCCTTCTTGTGCTGCGTTTCAGTCATGGAAACCTTAAATTTTTACAGTTAGATAACAAACACACTATAAATGAGTAATATGACATTTATTATCAAAGTGGTGTCATGATTTGTGTAACCTTGCATATTCTAATCAAATTGAACGTATATTTGGCGATTTCAAATTACAGCAAATGAAAATGAACAAACACTTCTGAAGGGTCACGGAAAAGACAAATTTTCAGCGAATAGGAATGCATACGTCAATCCGAAATCCCAATCACGTATTTTGTAACCTTTTCAACGAAACGTAATTCACATTCATTTATTTGAAGGGTGCGAAACGAAGTCAAATGCTAGTTATGGCGAAAATGAAACCACGTTTTAAGTCGTTTCCGGAATCTACGTTAAATTGAAATTTTATTTAACAAATTAGATCGCACATGCATCTCCCTAAATTGGCTGAGAAAACCTATATTATATCAGCGAAGCCAAATCCACTACCCCCCCCCCGCATTTTACAAGGTCTAGCATTAGAGATGACAAGCAAGAAAGAGTCGTGGTAAAGATGACCCAGGAGTGTCAAGGATATCAAACGAAATACCCGTAATACCATGCATGGGGTCTACGGGCAATTGAAGGAGCAGCACAATCTATTGTATGGATGACACTAAAGATACCTGTGGAATGAGATGCACTACGGCGTCGCCTACCAAGGTAGACACAGCCAAAGCCATCATAGTTTGCAAGACTTTCAGATAGACGTCCGTACTAAGGCACGGAAGGAAAGCCACACCGGCTATGGCGCAAAGGCTGATGATGAACACGGCCAGTACGCCATAGCCCCAAACTACAGGGGTTAAACAAAATGCAATGACTGAAGAGTAAGCATTACAAATTATATCAAAACGACGAGAACTGCAACTTTTTTCATCATGGAGAAAACATGGACGGTGCAACAAAGAACTGTAGTTGCTGAACCGCATAACATAATTATTGACATGATGCAACTTGTCCAATTGAGAAAACCTTGCCTTGCAGAGATAAACGGACGTTCAATAAAGCGGTTTCAATCCAACAATTTAGAATATCCCCTCAGTTTTTACACCAATTCCAA